TTTAATCAAACGGTTAGATGCTTTGTAAAACGACTAAATTAACAATCTAGCTGTGACACACACATATATATATATATATTGTATTTGCTCAATTAATCAGTTTCAAATAAACCCCAGGTTGAAAGGCATGAGAAACACATTGAAGTACTGTATTTTATAGGTTAACTAGCTGTTACCCGCGACTTCGCCCACGCGGATTTTGCAAGCGAACACCATTTATATTCAGTATTTCAACAACCATAGTAATTGTTATATAACACCTACCACTGAGAATCAAATGAACTGTTTTCAATTTGATCAATTTTCTGGAATGTTTACAATCGTTCTATAATCGAACCAATATGCATTAACAAATTCGAATTTAAAACAGTTCAAACATTTGGTTAAAAAATCGAAATATATAAAAATATTTATAACAACGTCTGAAATGTTGTCAATTTAATACACCTAACTACTCAATGAAGACTAAATGTAGTTGTAAACAAAAAATTGCATCTAAAATAGTACAGTATAAGCTGTTTTTTCTGGTTAAGCCTTAATGCTCTCCCTCTCCCCCGCGGGGAAATTTTGAAAAATCCCTTCTTAGTGTGCATTCCCATGGAGTACCCTACTAAATCGCAGTTAAAAACAAAAAATCGCATCTAAAATGGTACAGTAGAAGCCATTTTTCTGGTTAAGCCTTAATGCTCTCCCTCTCCTCTTGTGGGGAAATTACGAAAAATCCCTTCTTACTGTGAGTTTTCATGACATACCCTAACTGTGTGCCAAATTTCACCTCTTAAGGTTCAGTGGTTTGCCCTGGGCGATGATGAATCAATCAGTCAGAACAAGTAAATTTATATATTTAGATGTAGCTTAGGGTTACAGAGAAGGAATTTAACTAAAATTTCCTCTCTCCAAATTGTCTAGAGTCAGATAGCACTTTCTATTCAATGTACAGTACATGGGAACATTTTATGAAATAAAATTATAAATATTGTTGAATATTAAGAGTGGGAAGGCCACAATTGAATTTATAATGTCATATCAGCCAAAAGATAATTAGGAAAACTCAAATTGTAAGTTTAAATGAGAAGATGGTAGTCAAGAACCTAATTCTACAATGACATTGAAACAAACACAAATGACAATATAACAACCAAATTGAAAAAGGCTGTATATGGTTAATTATAAAATTAGTAATTATTTTAAATGTTGTTGTTGTTGTAACTCATAAATATAGTCAATAAATGATTGTCTATAATACAGTGATCAATAGCCTTTAATCCAGCAAATCAATAAATTGAATAATGTTTTTGGCAGCATTTTATCGATCATCTTCAGATTAAAAAATAATAATGGTTACGCAACAGAAGATGAAGTAATCAAATCAGCTGGAATATTTATAATAAATAACTAATCCATCTTTAATTTCCCAATATTTTTTCTGTTTCAAACAAGTACTTTTAATCTTTTTAAAAGATCACTTTCAGGTTCAGTGAACATTATAACAGAATATTATACATTTCAATTTATTGATTTGCTGGATTAAAAGTTATTGATCACTGTAAATGGCTTCTAACATTAATTTGAACAATATTTAAGTAAGATTTGTACACTTTGTCATTTAGTTGTATTGTAATAAAACATTAAACTTTATGGTAGTTTTGGGCCACTCTAAATAAAATAGAAGTTTACAAATATTTGTGAAAAATATAAAATTGTAAATGTTTTTAATATGACGATTGAATGTTATCTTTTACTTAATATAATCATTATATGTTAAAATGTTTATCATTTAAAAATGTTTGACATAATTTTTGCAATTAATATGTATAAAACTATAAATGTATTATAGCAGCCTTAACAGATAGTTGTAATGAGGCATTAGTCAGATAATACTGATATAGATGATGTAGATACCGATTACATTATCAAAAATATATATAGATAACAAAGCCAAATTATACTACAATCAAATGAGGGAGTCTTCTAGCCACTAGTTAATCTGGCTGTATTATGTGATTATTAGATTATATTAATATATACTAAACATTCTATGGTTTGTATAATGGTATTTTGTATCAAATGTCAAATGAACAGCTGGATTCCTTTATCAGCCATATCTTCTAGCTGAATAGCTAGAAGATATGGCTGATTTATTCTCCTGAAATGTTATAAATTAATTCTAATACGTTTAACAAAAGATGACAGCATAACTGCTTATCTCTAGCCAAATTACTTAATAATTAATTAGCCTTAAATGGTCCATTAAAGGAATCCAGTTGTTCATTTGATATTTGAAGTAACTATTGGGTTAGTTGTATGTTTTATACAGAATGGTGCAAAAGTATGTATACAGCTATAAATCTGAGAAATACAGATGTTTGGTGTTTGTCATCTTTTATTATTTTGTCATATTCCTTATTTGTGATTTAAATTTTGCATAAAAATAAATGATTTTGTTTTTGCATGTTTTTCCATAAAAACAACTGTGTACCTACTTTTACATCCCTTGTTCAGTACAAAATACCATGCCTGGGTTAAAGTATAACCTGGTTGAGTGCCATAGAGGGCCATGGGTGATAAATCAACCCATCTGCACTATGAGTGATCAGTTTGGTTGTATCTAGGTCTGGAAGTGTAGATTGGATCAAGTTCCTGGTTGCCTAACTGGCAACCAGGATGCATCTTGAATAGTAAGCAGGAGTCACGGGTTTAAATCCAATACCAGGGCAATCTTCCAGGATCTTTTAAATTAAATTATTTGTAATTATTAATTTATTGTGAAGAATATTCATACTGGAAGCTTATATTTTCATCTTGCAAAATTACTTAAAACTGCTCTATAACCATTTACTTAAGATTTATTACATGTTTTGGCAATTTTTAGATGTAAGAACATCCTAGAATTAAAATGAATTTGTCATTGAGTTCTGACTTTCTTTATATGATATATTACTCTAATAACCAATGACTCATTATAATTTGCATAAATGCAATGATTTTATAATTTTAATAATTAACTTATATAAAAAACTAATTGTAACAAAATGTGATATACTTAATGAATTTCTAATTTGTTAGCCTAATTCTAAAAATTAAAAATAATGCTATAAGTAATTTTAGTATTACTCATCAAATTTGGTTTTCATCTCAAAACAGAATGAATATTGATTATCCTCATTATTTATGTAGTATGTAAGTTTGTCAGTTAAGTGAATGCTTTTTGTGAATCTGTGAATGAAATTTCAAGAGTTGATTGTGCTTAACATTGCAATAAATAAGAATAAATGTTATATGCAATTTCTAAATTCATATAGTTTAGAACAAATCTAATTTTGCATGATTCAGATTAACTAATTAACTAATGTAGTTGCTTGTATGTAAAATTTTTGCATTTAATTTTACCCAAGCTGTTTTTTTTAATTAGATATTTTAAATTAATTAATTGAAATAATAAAATAAGTTAGGAAGAAATAAAATTTATTTATATTTTTAGAAGGAAAACAAATTTATTCCTAGTATGAATAATTTTTATTCATTTAAAAATCATCTTGAAATTTGTACATATTCTGTGTTGTTTGTTTAAAAAATTTTTACATTTTATTCTAATTTGACACTCAGATCTGAAGATTAAATAGAATAACTCCGCAAACATTTAATCCAATAATAAATTTGTTTGACATCTAACAAACAAATATAAGTAAATTTTGTATTTTTTAATATTTATTTTTAAATTAATGACAAATACAATGACAAATTATTGTAATCAGTAAGCGAATTATTATTTAATTCTAAAATTGAATTATGCCTATATATATGGTAATTAAATAATTTTGATGTTATTCCTTTATTTCATTTATTTTTATTTAAATTATTTTTTAACATAAATTATGATTTATTTGCATTTTTTAATATTTAACTTTTGAATAGAATGTTTATAAGTTTTCTGTTTTATAGATATATAACTCCAGATAAATTCTATTTAGAACCATTAGAATCACCAGATGAATTAATTATTATTGACAGATTAACAAAAGATATCAGTTTACAAAGTAAGTATTAATTAATATAATTAAAATTATATACTTAATCTTTTTTTAAATTTAGTCATTTCAACTAGGTTAATATAACTAAAGTGCTAGTGTAAATAAAAACTTTACTGCATTTAGTATTGGGACCTTCAACATACCTTAGTTGGATAAATAGCCATTGTATATTGTCAGGTTGTGTTACACTAGTCAGTGGTTTCTCTGGAGAACTGACAAACTGAAGATAGGTATATGAGGTTTTTAATAACCCTTTTACTGTGATCAAATGTATGACTGTTAGAGGAAGGTGGAGTGGGAGGTTAGCCTTCATATTTCTGTTCTGAGAGAAGATTTTAATTACATTAGAAATTTATATACAGTAGTAATGTAAGAAAATATTTTCAGTATATATTTTCTTACATTGTATTTCTGTCTAGCACATAACATATTCAAATGTATTGAATGTATTGACCACATGTTTTTTCATAGAGGTAGAGAATGTGAGAATTCTTAAGATGGATGGATGATTGTTAAATACCTAAGTTCATTGATAGAGAAGCTGAATCTGGGATTGAAAGTGCTTGGAACAGAGCATCAGGTGATGGGTACAAAAAGGACACTCACCCAAAAAAAAAGAGAGAGAGAGAAAAGGCACAAGCATTCAAATTAATTTTAAGAAGACTTAATCTGTTTAAATATTTTAATATGATCTAACTTTAAATTAGGTTATAAAAATAATTAAAAATCTGAAGAAATGTTAAATGACACAATGAGCTAGTAATAAAGTAAACAAGATATTAATATTTAAAAATTCTGTGGTTAATGTAATAAAAAATATAAACAGCAAAAATTTATATATATATATATATAGAATTGCTTNGTATCTGATGCCATAGGAATTTTTTAGATATTATAATTTGCAGATCACTCTTGACCAAAAAGTTTTTTTTTTTTTTTTAATTAATTCTTAATAGAATTTTGATATTTCCAGGTCCACATCTTGTATTAATTACAAAAAAATCAAAAGTAGGTGAGATTAATGGTCAATCAATATGGAGAGTAGAAGATACTGAAACACATGCATATGCACGAGCTTCATTGCATCTCACTGAAGATCAGGTCTGTAAAGTTAAAAACTAAAGATTTTATTTAAATTAAAAAATTACACTTTGTAATATAAAAATATTCACTAAGAGGTTGACTGCATTGTAACAGCTGTTGTACACAATTTAATTTTTCTTAATTATTTTCAGAATCAATATGACAAACAGTACCTATCGATGATACAATCTTTTCTTCGGACTCCATACTTTTATTTTTCCACATCTTATGATTTGAGTCACACAGTTCAACGATTATACAACACTAGTCCGGATTTTCTTCAAATGCCATTGTTTGAAAGAGTAATTATTTTGGCTTTATTCCTTACAATTAAATTTGATATAAAAGACAAAATCTTAGAGTAAAGATCTATTAATGATTTTTTTAGGGGGATCAAAGATTTATTTGGAATCATTATCTAATGAGGGACCTTTTAGCACAGCAAGAGGTAAGTATTCTAATTCATTTGGTTGATTTTTAAAACTATTTTTTTAATCTCAGAATTTTTTGACAGTTACATCGATACTGGCTGCCGGTAATTCATGGCTGTATCCTTATTTAAAAATTTTGAAATTTATTTATGGATTTTTAAATAAAGTTTTCAGATAAATAAAATTTTCAACAAGTTATTCTAAATCCATTAGAAGTGTTTGAGACCCAATTGATATATTGTATTTTTCTGTCTAACATGCATTCCTTTTGTCAGACTTGCTTCTCAAGTTACAATGCACTAGATTTAGATGGAAACTCAAAAATTCCTTTTACCACTTTATATTACCCTATCATTCCTTAGAGTTTTCTCCTCTTGACATATCGTGTGTGTTGTTTGGCTTTTTCTAGTTTCGATTTCATCAGTTGTGGTTCTATATTTTATTTTAGCTTTGACATATTGTTTTTCACAAGATTGCACAAACAACTTTTGTGTGTTCAGTGCAGTAGTACATTAAAATTGTCAGAAAACAGATTTTTTCTGACAATTTTAATGTTTTACTTTTTTGTTTTCGAGGTTTAAAAAAATCTGAGTGCACATTAGATTCAAGTAAATACGGTAATATAATATATAAATAGTTTCAATTTCATTAAAACTTTATTTAGTTTCCAATTGTAAGCATATAAAATTCTTACAAGAAATTTAGAGCTCACAATTAGAGACTTCTACTTTTAAAATCACAAAGTGATAATTTTATTTTTTTACTTATTACAGGATAATATTGGTATTTACATATTAACAAGACATCCATCTGTATAAACATTTGAAATTTCTTTCTTGTTTTATGTTTATTATATTTATTAAATTACTACATTCTCATTGTTCATTCATCTACATGTTCAAATATCTTCTTCTCTGCTTTGATTTGGGTTTTTGAGGAGCAAGAAATACTTTTTAGGTGATAAATTGACAGCATATAATGGATAAATGAAAATATGAAGGAATGAAGGACTTTGTGTAAATTATTGTTCAAGTTTTTATAAAATAATTTCTGTGTAAATATATATTTGGGGGTATAAGCTGTTTGTCTCTTCATTTAAGTTTATTGAATTTGTTTTGTTTAAAGACACTGAACTTTTAACTAGCAATTTTTCAGCTGGAATGTGCCGGTATATCATATGGACAGGTATCATAAAAAGTATCAATAGCTGGGACTATGTACTTCACCAGCATTGCTCAGTAAAACAACTCTATATTTTCAGTCACATACATGTATACCAGTAGTATTTTTTTTAGAAAAAGAGCACTGAATATATTCACAAAATAATATATCACAGATTATTTCAGTATCATTTAATTTCTGAGATCTTTGATTCTGGTAGGTGAGAAATGGTTACATTACACCTTCATCCATGCAGGACAATAGGATTTTGCAATGTAACACCTTCATCTGCTCCTGTCTTATTTCTGCAATATATACTTAATCAAATATTATCTGTTGTATATAGATAATAGACACTAAATATTTCTAATTCATTACAAAATGAATATTGATTTAAGGTGTTTCTACAAAATCATAAGTACCATTCATTTTCAAAAATAATGATTTTTTTAAAGATATAATTTTAAAGACTTTTAAGGTTCTTAGAACAGTAATAATAGAAAGATTTGTTTAATGCTAAACTTTACATAATTTTCTTTGTAAATAATCAAATTTTGTTTGTTTTTGACGAAGATAATTTTCCTTAACTGTATTATAGTTATATGTATAAAGCAATGTATTATTAACCAACATTCTTTTTCATGGATATTAATATCAAGGAGAAGTTGCTATCGTGCAGGAACACGTTTATTTATGCGAGGCGTTGATACAGAAGGACACGTGGCTAATTACATTGAAACGGAACAGATTGTAGAATACGATGGTTGCAAAAGTTCATTTGTACAGGTAATTATTTTTGTAGTAAATACAATTTTACATAAAATTCAACTAATATAACTAATGGATATTATAAAATAAAATGTGTGACAAGCAGAGGGCTAGGGGTTAATCCCTCCTGCACAGGCTGGTAAAACCCGGTCTCAGAGTCGATGGATGGCTAGGAGGGCAAAAAGTGAGTGGGGAGTGCATCGGTAAGCCGGCAGGCGTCCTTTCAAAGATAGGAGACAGGTTTAACAAATAAACAATACATTTATTGAAGTACTAAATCTAAGTTACAGGAGGCGAAAATAATACTAAGGTTATTGTAATGCGGTTATCGTATATGCTATACTATTTACATAAAATGGGTGACTAATCTCGTAACTATTTCGCTGACCTAACTTTAAGGTGAGAGAGAGTGATTTTACAAGTTCAAAAATATCCCCTAAATAGAGAGATTGTGGGCAACGTTTTCATTGCGAAAACATGTAGGTCGGACATTCAGCACCGTCTTCCTGTAAGTCTAGAAGTTTGACAATGGCATTTGATGTGTCGAGCATGATTCGAGCATGATTCTACTAACGTTCCAAACGCCATTTTCAAACTTCTAGGCTTATAGGAAAATGGCGTTTGGAACGTTAGTGGAATCATGCTTGACATATCAAATGCCATTGTCAAACTTCTAGGCTTACAGGAAGACGGCACTGAATGTCCGACGTACACGTTTTCGCGATGAAAACGTTGGCCACAACTTCTCTAATACCTCTCGTTGTAATGGAGAGTTGATATGGCGACGAATCTCTGTGTCTTCTCCGACGGGATCCAATTCCTTTGCATGGACATTGACTGGCAGAAGTACAGAAATAATTTCCGTGTGCAGACGCGTGCTGAGCTTCCAGGGGCTTGAGCTTTTATTCAGTTGTCGTGGGAAAGGAGTCACATGATCGTCAAATGTTGACAATAACAGTGCATTCTTGACACCTATGTGTCGACTTTCCCACCTAATTGTTATAACAAACGGTGACCTCAGATATAATTCTCACCAGGAGCATTTTTTCTATTGGAGTTGTTTACATTTGTTTTTTTTCCGACAACTGCGTTAAATTTGTGGATTTCACAAAAATATTTTCATTATTTATTGCCTAATTTAATATATAACTTAATGTTATATATTAAATTATTAAATTATTAAATTTAATATATAACTTAATGTTATATATTAAATTTAAATATAATTTTGATATTCAATTAATGAGTTTGAATCTGGAGTAAAAATGTTGCTTATTGATAAATTAATAACGAAACATTGATACTTTAAATAACTATAGTAGTAAGTGGCCAAGGTGGCAACCTACCACTCTGGGGTACCCGGGTTCGAATCTGAACGGGTCGAAAAATCCCCAGGAATTTTTCGCGGGGGTGGTTCATTGGGATATGTCGGGCCATGTCCCTCACCACCCGGCAGCCCCATTGTGGGCCTGGCCGAACCCATAATGGGCTTGCAAAAAGAGGTCCTCTTAGTGCCCACAGGGCAGAGAGAGTTAAAAAAAAAAAACTATAGTAGTACAGACCAGTCTATAATCTAGATTGAATTTCCAGAAATTTTCATTAGTGGTTTGATTTAGTTATGTTAGGCCAACCCCTTCCTCCAAGATGGATTGTAGGCTTAGCCATGGATTAGTTAATGAATTGAACAAATTATATATAATATGAAACATGCGTTAATAATATAACATAGTGTATATGCTTAAAAGAAGATTGTTTATATTTTTTTTATTATTAATTTTTTAGACAAGAGGTTCTATTCCATTGTTTTGGAGTCAACTTCCAGATCTTAGGTACAAGCCAAAACCAACATTAAGTACTACTAACAATCAGGTAAGTTTCTATAAAACATTTTATTTATATTGAAAAACTCAATATATACATAGTATATAAAGCTTTATATCAAAATAATTGATTTTTATAAATTACAATGTCAAAATTGGATGATAAATAATATATTAAAAAAATAAAATGTAGCTCTTACATTTAAGATATTCAATAAAATAAATAATTAAGAAAGTAGACTGAGTATATTGTGTCTTTGAATACAAAATTTCTCATAAAAATTTGTGTTTGGTCCTTGTAAAAAATTCTGGCATGATAAATGATTGAAGTCAGAAAGTGATTCTAAGTATATGAAAAATGAATTAATTTCATTCATTGCTAACAATAAAATTACAGTAAAATGTCATCAGTCAATTGCTTAACTAAGATTGAACATAATATCTTGAGTTTTATATAGTTGAAAGTATTACTTATTTATTTTAATTTTTTTTTAAATAATAAAGAAAAGTAAAAGTTAATTTTAAAAAACATTTCAAATTTATAGTGAAGTTTAAATTTTACTTATTCTGTATTGGCCCAAAATATAAGTTGACTTCCCAATTCTGGAATCTTTAATTTTTGAAAAAGATCAGTACTTGAACATAAGTTGACCTTTTATTATTAATTTTATTTGCATACAAAAGATTAGCGATTTGTATTAAAAAATCATCAAAATAATACTTTATCACTTTTATCTTTATCAGAACTTTCATTTTCGTTGTGGTCTTCAGCCTGTGTTCTGTTTGAATTGTTGGTAACACAACATTAAAGCCCTTTATAATTGTGTTGTCATCAACAATCTTTTGTTATTCTACTGTTCTAACTTTTACAAGAATATATGGATTTTTTATCTATGTGATTATGAAAATTAGTTTGCTCAATTACATTTTTGTTTCTTTTCAAAATTACTTTGATATAGTTAGATATAAAATTTTTTAGATTTGTATCTACAAATATCTCAGAATCAATCTACATAAATTAATTTTTGATCGATTGCTTAGTAATTTTTAAATATAACATTCAAATTGTACCTAGTCGATCAGAAAACTGTACTCAGTTGTTTTATGAAATGAAATATATGCATTGGATTCCTATATTATAAGTGCAAAAAATTGTAACTTATTGCTTCTTTCTGTTGATGTCAATAAACAGAAAGAAGCAATAAGCAATTATATAGCAAACAATTTTGCTATATAATATAAATTATATAGCAAAATTGAGACAATGTCCTTTGCACTGGATAATATGATGCCCAGTATATACTTCATGCTGGGGGAAGTAAGCTTCTTTTGCACACTTCACATGTATTCCAGAAAGTGTAATTGCAGTTTTATGACTATTGAAAATAAAACAAACTTTGTTTTTCATTTTTATTATCTTATATTTTTATAACTGTCTGAAGCATATTTTATAAAGTGTAAAACATAAACATATTGAAATTTATAATTACAATAAAAATTTACATTTTAAATAGAATAAATTTTGCAGTCTTCCTCAATTATTTGATGATTGCTTGATTGGTAGATTCCTAAGAGTAAAGTAAAAAAAATTAACCAAAATAAAATTCCAAAACTGACTGATTCTGTTGAATATGATAAAAAATACAGTCGACTCCCCCTATAACATGGGTTCCTATAGTTCAGATTCCTATATCACGGAAAAAAAATTGCGACAGTATTCGTACAAACATGCTAAAAAAAACTCGTATAATTCAGTAAAACATCATCGCCGACTCGTGTCGCGACAGGACTGCACAAACCGTTGAGTTTAAACGAGCAGCGGACCTACCAACAACCATTTATTATTTAACATCCATAAAAATTATATTTATAGTAATGATGTCTCCAAAGTTCAGTGAATTTTTCACAAAAAAAATAATTTATCAGGAAGCACGCGAGCGCCGTTCGATGACAATCTCCGTGACGAAAACAAGCTTAAGCAATTGCGTAGTCAAACGATGCACACTTGGTAAGTAATCCTACAAGTTTTTGTTTATAGCATAGTTTATATGGATTATTCCCAAAAAATTATATGTATTTTGGAAATGTTGAGTCGAATTAGTCAAGAATCGATTAATTTTATGGAAGAAACCTTTGAAACAACTGTAGTCAGTAAACTGCATATGTGCTGGGCTGTGATTTGCTGGACTCTTAGAAGCTGGATTCATAAAAACAGGAATGTATCTATTGTGTTATGGGGGTCGACTGTAATCAGTTTAGTTTAATTGATTGTTTTTGAACATTCGATTAACCAATTATTTACAATCATGCCAAACACTTAATTTTCTGCACATAGTTTGTGGGTGCAGCACAAGTCACAACTTGACTGGCATTTAATAGTAATTTAATTTTATTACTAAACAATCAGCACAACAAATTTTCAGGTTACTTTAGCTCTATACACCATATACCACAGATGATTAGCTGAATCAAATAAAACTTTAATTAGATTTAAATAAAAGTTCTGCCTTCATTTCTTTAAAACTGGGAAAAATTATCAATTAATATTCAGAGCATTGTGACATTTAAGTTATCTTTTCAAACAAATTAGAATAATTAAATTAATTAAAATATCTACAAACATGAGGTAGATAATAGTAAGGACTTATCACACCAATGATAATGGCTCAGGAATCAAAGTAAAAACATTTAATAAAAACAAAAATGTTGGTCCCTCATCAGTTGGTCATCATCAGTCACCCTCATCAGTCACTCTCATCAGTTCCTCACCAGTCCCTCACCAACTGATGAGGGACTATTTTCTATTAGAAAATAATTCAAAATGCATTTTGGGTTTTTTGTTTCCATACTTATAGTCATTTTTATTGTACACCCTTTTCTTGTTTTTATTAAATGTTTTTACTTTGATTCCTGAGCATTTGTGCCCGTTATCATTAGTGTGATAAGCCCTTACTATTATCTACCTCATGTTTGTAGATATTTTAATTAATTTAATTATACCAAGCAACTTTTGTAATTTTAGAACAATTCTTAATAAGTACTTAATTATATGATTAATCTAATTTTTAAAGTATTAAAGTGATTCTTCATAAAAAGGCAATTATTTTTCTATTTCAGGTTGATGGTTATCACAGACATTTCGATAGTCAATTGTTAACTTATAATAAACAAATAATTATTAACTTGGTAAGTATTTTTTTATGTTGACCATTTATGATTTCTATACAGACAAATTAGATGTCACCTTAAATTAATAGTTTAATTGATAGACTTCAAACTCTTAAGGGATTTCCAGATTTTAGTGGGTCACTTACCAATGGAGTATTATTTTAAAAAAAAGTATTAAAATACAAGTTTTATTTAAAGAAGAAAACAAAAATGTATTTTAAAAAATTTTTATACTATATTTAGTACATATGATTTTCAGAAATATGTCAAGTTTTTAAAATAAATCTATGACTTCTTCTTTTTGTTTTTGGTTGGAGCATTTAAATTAGGAAACAAATTGGTACAGATCAGGTAGTTAGATTAGCGGAGGTTTGGATTGGTAAGAGCATACGATACTTATAAATGATGTAAAATGTGTTGTAAAATAAATCAAGTCAACAAACGATGTGGAGAATATAATTCTGAAACAATAGTGCAGCAACAACAACTTTTCAAATAATAAATGAAGCAAATATTGGTTGTGTGTTTATAATTTATAATCTGTTATTGAATTCTTATAATTAAAAGTTTTTAACTTTTAAGTTTAATCAGTCAAGCTTAAGAGTTAGTGGGACTGTTGTTGACTGTGTTTCTGCATGATCTATTTAAGTTCTTACACTTTAACAAAATGGTGGCTATTTTATACTTTGTATAACTGTAGAACATCATAATATAGTTTAAAACAAATTAAGAAAGAATTTTAGAATATTTGATAAAATATTGCATCATTGTAAAACCACACCAAAATCAAATACCAAAATTACAATCAGTAAATTGATTTTTAACAACAAAATACTTTATGATAATCGACAAGTAAATGTTATTTATACGAATCTTAATTACAGTAGAATTCCAATTATCCAAATGCCAATTAACTGAATGACCAATTTTCTGAAACATCATATGTCCTTTCTCTCTCCCACCAACATCACTATTGCAATTCTCCTACATTGTGCAACTACATGATCAGTGACATCAATATGTGAGTAGCATAACACTGATCCAAACGATCAGTGTTATGCTACTCACATATTGATGAGTAAGTAAATACAGTACATGTACAGTATTGTGCCACTAATCTGTAATTTTTGATTATCCAAATCACTTGCTGAACATATTGATTTGAATAATCGGAGTTCTGCTGTATATTCTAACATTCGATATCAATAGTCAAATAGTTCTGTTAAGATAAATAAATGAAAAGGTATAAAATAAAATACTTATTTTTGTTATAAGATATCAAGCTTAGATATAAAATTTTGATTTTAAATATTTGCAGATTGATCATAAAGGAATTGAAGAAATTTTAGAAACAAATTTTGCAAATGCCGTGAGAGAATACAATAATCCTCAAGTCAGGTATTTTAAAATAAATTTTATTTATTTTTATTTCTACATTATTGATTCTCAATTTTCAAGTCATGGTACGCACAATTTTTGATTGTATAGTATTGTATCAAAGATGTTTTTATGAATATAAATGAGGGATTCCCACTGGGATCAACATAGATCCCCTGAGGGGTTAATTTTTAAAGGAGTTGATGCAACTCAAGGGGTCAATGGAAAAATCAAATACTTATACTTTTTTGAGAATTTCAGATAATTTTTAAGTAAGAATAATAACAATCATGTGAAAAATTCATTAACTGATTAAATAATTTACTTGATATATTATGCAAAATGTTGGGAAATAACAAAAAAAATTGTAAGGAAGTCGAGTGAAAAGAATATTTGCTATGTGGGGATTAATGCAAGAAAAAGATTGGAAACCCCTGAGATAAAGAAAATGTGAGATAGAAGATTTGCAGTATTTTATATATAAAATAAACAAATAATAGTTTAAAAAATATTACTTTTAAATGATTCTTTGAAATTTAATGGTGTATCCTGAACTTATGAACTCTTATAAGTCCAGGTTACACCAGTTGTAAACCACTGTTCTATATTGTTACCATTCATCAGGATTTTATAAATATATAACAGTAGCCCTGTATTTATCTGAAATTAGATTATAAAATAGAATATGATTATTGTCTCTTAAAACCAATAAATTTTTTTTCAGTAGTTCTCTTCAGTACTAATTTATAGTTTCAATCAAGTTGGAATATTTGTAAAATTTTAATGGTTGAGAATATTTGTAAAATGTTTACAATTGCAGGTATGTGTCTTTTGACTTTCATAAAGAATGTGGTCACATGAGGTGGGAAAGGCTTTCATTGTTAATGGAAAGAATTAACCAAGATCAAAATGAAATGGGGTATGTTCTTTTGTTATAATTCTAACCAAATACTAAAAAAATTTTCCAATATAAAAAAAAATATTTTAATTTAATTTACATACATAAATATATCTTAACATAAGTTTTCTTTTTAGATATATTCTTATATTTAGAGACGGTACTCTATTACAACAACAGGAAGGTGTTTTTCGTACAAATTGTATCGACTGTCTCGATCGCACAAATGTGGTACAGAGTATGTTAGCCAAAAGAAGTTTACAGAGTCAGTTAAAGGCAAGAAGTTTATTAGATCCTAATTAGAAAGTTTAATAAAATTATTTCTGTAAGAAGCAGTATTGGTCCATATTAATGCTTGCCTTGTCAAACATCTCTATTTCAAGAGACAAGCATTGATATGGACTAATATTATAATATTTCTTACAGATATGGGGTTTCAGGACAGACTACTCAAAATTTAATATAATTATACAGTGGGTGATCGGTTGATGAACAGATCGGTTAATGAACAGATTGGATAACGAACACTTTTGAGAAAGATTTTTATGATCGGACAATGAACACATGTTCGGATAACGAACACTTCACTGAACAAACACAAGAAGAAGTGACATAAATAACGAATACCAATTGGTCTTCCTTTGTCTTCAGGCAACAATTCAAAACGTTTCAGAGTGCGGGAGACGTCGACATCGACATTCTACCCAGTATATACTGATCGGATAATATTCCCTCAAAGTTTGAAACTCTCCCTTGTAATTCCAGCCTTTTTTTATTTCTGACAGAAACAATTCTTTTATGTTTTCTTCAGAAAATGCGGATTTATGTCGATATCTGCTATTAAAGATCTTTTGAAGAAGTGGGAGGATGTCAGAACAACGGTCTTAAAATGGCATCCAAACCAGGTTGAGGTTAATAGGCCTAGAGATCTCTAAAATTATAATGCTATTAATTACTTCTGAAAAATCATGAAGAAGACAGAAAAGCAATCGTCATTGGACAGATTCTTTAACCCCCACAAACGGAAAAAACATGACTAATAAAAATGCAAGACTGTGTATATATGTATTTTTATTATTACATGTGAATAAACATAGTAAGAAAGTATATATTTTTTATTTTTTGGGGGGTCTCCAGAATGAATTAATGAAATTCCCATAGAAACCTATGGTA